CTCTTCCTCACATCTATCATACTCTTTTCTTTTACCTCTCTGGGCCAGAATTCTCTGCCCTCAAGTTGGTCCTCCAGATAGTCCCTAATGATGTTGGTTTTCTGCAGAAAGAGACCCATGGAGTTGGCCAGTTCTACGTCTTGGCCGACAAGAGGATCTTCCAATTCTGAGGCAGAGAAGAGCCTGGAGAGGCCAATTCCCACCAGGCCAGCAACGTAGTGGCAATACTAGAAGTTGGAAAATTCAAAGCTTTATCAAGATGTGTTTAAAAATCTAGTTTAGACCATAAAAGCTGCAACTACTGAACTTTACAATCTCCTTCCTTGAATTACTTTTGCTCAAGCAGTGTATAGCATGAAAGAAAAGAAAAAAAGCACTGCAAGTGGTCAGGAACATTTATATAGCCACATTTACAAATGGGGTTGCAGCTATGTTTCACAAGACCTTATAAGATGCTACAAGCATGAAATCATGAATTCTTAGATGTGATACTATCATGAACTTCCCAGCTTCATTCAAAAGCAGCAGCCCAGTGCAATTCATCTAAACAAACCTAAGTCCATAGGAGATAAGAAACAAATATATCCACCTCCCACCCAGGATGTGACCCTTCCTATATTATTTATTTATCATATTTATATAGCCCCCCCATCTCACACAAGGTGACTCTGGACGGTATACAACAATTAAAAAAATAAATACATAAAAAAACTATATATAAAAAACAGTAAAAACACACAAAAACAGGAGGGGATACAATTAATAAGGGAGCCATCATAAAATCCACCTGGCCCCCTGGGAGCCCCAGGCCTGATCACATAGCCAACTCTTGAGGGACTTACGGAATGTTAAGAGGGATGGAGCTAATTTCACTTCTGGGGGGAGGAGATTCCACAAGGTGGGCACCACAGCAGAGAAGGCCCACCTCCTGGGGCCCACCAGATGTAATTCTCTAGCAGACGGGATCTGCAGCATGCCTTCTCTGCCAGATCTCGTGGGATGGGCAGATGCAATCGGGGAGAGGCGGTCCCTCAGGTAACTTGGCCCGATGCCATAAAGGGCTTTAAAGGTCAAAACCAGCACCCTGAATTGGACCCGGAAACAAACGGGCAGCCAGTGCAGCTCGTGAAGCAGAAGTGTAACGTGTACCACCCTAGAGGCACACATAACTGCCTGCGCTGCTACATTTTGCATCAGTTGAAGCTTCCAGATACTCGTCAAGAGCAGCTACAGTGGGGCAAAAAAGTATATAGTCAGCCACCAATTGTGCAAGTTCTCCCACTTAAAAAGATGAAAGAGGCCTGTAA